CATGACTATGTGTGATTCGAGAACTTGATATAATGGATATAATCAACTTGATCTAAGTTTTTTCTCCTTATAGAGTAAAATATTCCAACCTCCGGTGCATTTTGCCATAATTACATGGACCTTTTATTTATTTTGAAAATGCATACTTAGGTCCAAACTGTTAATTTCATTAAAAATATTCTAAAAATGCTTTTTTTTAATTAAAATTTATGTTGATATACTTTTTATTTATTAATTTACTCTTCATAATACTAAATTCCTAAATTTTGGTTAAAACCATTTTAAAAATTTAAGATTTTTCCTTTCTCTTAATTTTACTTTTATTTTTATAAATATTTATTTGTTTAATATTTTATTATACTGGGACAGAAAATTAAGTAATTTACTTAATGTGAACATAAAAAATTGAATGAAAAATTGATTAATTTTTTAAATAAACATGTGATCATTCAAATAAGTTATAAGTGTTTGCAACAAATTTTTTTAAAATTTTAAATTATAAATTTAAATGATTTATATGATTTCCTAATTCATATAATTTATATTATATGATAAAAAATTAAAAATATTTTTATCCATTTAAAAGAAACCTAAATAAGTTTCAATATTTCATGAAGAATTAAAAATTATATAATTCTATAATGTAATTAAAATTAATAAATTTTATAACATATTAAAAAGTTTGAAAATAGCTTTTCAGAAATTGAAAAGGTTTCGTTTTAATTCTTCCAAAAAAAATCGATAAAAGAATCAATAATGAGTTAAAATATCGGGTTAAACATGTACATATTTTTAAATATGTATATATGTTTAAGTTAAAGTTAATCGTCAAAAGATTTTAATAAACAAGGTTGCTTCTTTCTTGTATAAATAAACACACAATACACATGCAACTTTGGATGGTGACATCACTCTTCATTCTAGAGCTAGATAGAATATATTACACACACACACATGTGTGTGTGTGTGTGAGCAGAGGTTGTTGAGTGATGACATCTTAAACACGAGATTTCGGGTTCAAATTCGAATAAATACAACAACAAAAAAAGTCTTTAAAAAGGTTAACCCTAATTAGGCTTAACAATTCTCAGACCTAATCACTATTCCAGAAAAATTATATTTCCTTCAATCTTAAATATAGAAGCTAGTTGAAGGATTTGCTTCAAATCTAAATATAAGATTTTAATATATTTTATCTTCTAAATTTATAATTTCTTCTTTAAACTATCTTAATTGCTTGCACAAATTAAAGATGACTTCCATTAAGGAAATACTCCTATATTTATTGTTAAAATGAAATATTTCAAGAAAAACAACACATTTTTGTAAAATGAAATATTTCAAGAAAAACAACACATTTTTCTTATAAATAACTAATTTAATTATTTATTAATTTTCTTAATTTTTATAAATTAGTATCTAATTCCTATATTTAAAATTAAAAGAATATATATAGATGTCTTTATATACTCTCATTGGTTAGAAGTTGAAGGATTTGCTTTTATTCTAAATGCAAGATCTTATTTTAATCTACCTCTTACATTTATATTTTTTTTTCTTAAACTGTTTTTATTGATTATACATGTTAATGAGAGTTTTTATCGATAGGGTAGTTTCCAATGCAATTGATTACATAAAATATTTTAGAAAAGCCAATCCACATTTATCATAAATAACTGACTTAAATAATTTTTTAATTTCTATAAATTAGTTATAGGGAAAATTGCAAAAAAAGACCTTGGAATTGCAAAAACGCAGATAGGGACCCTTGACAACTTCACTTTGGGTTTTGACAACTTCAGGGCATATTATTCTTGTCAAAACCCAAAGTGAAGTTGTCAAGGGTCCCTATCTGCGTTTTTACAATTCCAAGGTCTTTTTTTGCAATTTCCCCTTAGTTATATGTCTCCTACATTTACTATGAGGAAAAGTATAAATAGATCTATAAATTAGTAAATGCTAACACAATTTTTAATGCCAGATACGCTTCTGGCGCCAAGTACAAGCATGTTGGAGATGATGGAGAATCGGAGATCAAGAAGCTCTTATAGATGCCTAGAATCAAGACCTGCATTGCATAACCCATTAATAGGAATTAGAGTCCAATGACAGAAGCAAAAATGTTATGAATATATTTTTGAATATTAAAGCTAAGGAAAAGCTTTATAAGGCCTAAGATGCGCAACCAAAAGTTATCACCTATCAATTCATGATATTAGGCTTGCAATTATCACCTATCAATTCATGAGATTAGGTCGTGAGATTAGGCTTGCAATTAAAGGAGTTGAAGTTAAAGAGATAAGTGAAAAAAGCTTCCAAATAAGCCCTAAAATATAAAAGGGCGTGCAAAAACTTCAAGAGATGGATTTGAGCCAGTTATTATGGAGCCTCAGGCCATAACGAAAGTGGCATCTTTAGGTGTATTTTTGTCTTGGTTTTTGTTTGTTTGCTTTAGTTATTTGAGTTGTGATGGGCTGAGATATGATCAAATAAAGCCGAAAATGACTTTTTACCTTTTTAGGAGGTTTTTAAGAGTTTTAGATATGATGAATTGATTAAATAAGGTAGACTAGAACATTATTCCCTCCGGTCTTTATTTTAAGTCTCAAATAACTAACTTGCATAGAAGAAACAATTAGTTAAAAATAATAAATATATTAGAAATATACTTTTGTTTCCAAATAAGAAAAAAAAAGAAAGAGAATTGCGGGAAAATTTGACGAGAGAATTTGTCAAACAAAAGAGAATGAATAATCAAAAGCAAAAATGAAAAAAAACATTAAATGTTAACAAACCAAATTGAAACTTATAATAAAACGGATCACACCGAAGTATTGGTTTGTCTTTTAAAAGTCAGCTTAAAAGCCCAATTATCCTACCATATCCATTGAATTCAAATTAGATGAAATTTGATTCAGATGGATTTTAACCACCGTACCCCCTAATTTCATCACACCCATTGAATTATCTCACGGATTTCATAATATCCTTTTTATCCTGAAAATTATTATCCTTCCATTCGGCCATTATTTTGTTAAAAATTCATTATCCTTCTACTTGCTCCATATAAAGTAACGTCTCCAATCACCCCAGATCGTTAAGGAGGCATCACTTCACTCCTCTATGCCTAATTCAATGGGGCTTTAGGGGTTTCAGGGTCTTAGTTTGTGTAGAGTCTTATTTTCTATTAAAGGTCAAGTGATGTGCGCCTATTATATATATTGTAATAAAGAGTTTACTCAACATAATTGCTCCCTTGCATTCTTGTGAGGATACTATAAGAGATTTAAGTGTTTGCTTTACTTGGAACTTTTGAACCAGTGTTTCCCTTGAGTGTTGAGTTTCACATATTATGAAATCCGTGATAAACAAAGCAAAAGGCGATAAACAAACAATATAAGACACAATGTTCTAACCATCTCAGAAGGACCTCTGCCCCTTGAGTGTGAACACCTGGCGTAAACACGTCTCGTACGTAGCTGAAATAGCAACTGACACTCAAAGGCTGACCAACATATTACTCTCTCCGATCCTATATATAAGAAACAAAGCTGGATTAGATCAAAACAATCAGTTGCCTTCTATCCCAAGATTTTCAAAGAAAACTCAACTCTTGAACCAATACCCAACGGAAACAAGCTTGATTCACATAAAGGTTTATCACATGGATGACACTCATGTATTGGAATTCTCTGATAACATCCATAAAGCAGTGAAGACGTTGGCAAAGCTCTAACATATAAATACAAATAGTCTTGGCGTAGAGGTGACAAAGTTGCACAAATTCAAGCATGCAGGGTAATAAACACAAGAACCAAGGGGGAAAAAAATCGAGCACTTAAGATCATTTGCATAAAGACAAATAAAATAAAAGAATGTTAGAACTATTCTCCAATGAGATTACGAGGCAAACTGCGAAAACTTTAGCACATAAAAAAATAACGGATGGATTAGGTAATTTAGTCCATACCTCCGTCCGTCCAACTTTAATTTTTTGAGCCAATTTTGAGATATCTGTGCAGAGAAGTAAAAGATGCAGAAATTCATTAGAAGTAAACAATGACGGATCAAGCATGCCTATTGTGGAAATATATTAGCCATGCAACATGACTAGCAAATAACAGTGTTATGAAATTCACACTACCCGCTTCTCAGAGTATATTTTCACTAAAAGGCTTGAGAGAAAATAGAGGAGCTCAAAATTTTCAAATAAATACCTACAAACTTGAATTCCTTTGGGCATATTAAAGACACTAAACACAGGTTTTGCCACATTAGGGTCCACAATTTTTTTTTTTCAAGTTCCCAAACACTAGAACAAGCAAAGAAAATCCGTAACATAGTTATTAGGGAATAGTGATCAATACAAAAGCTTCCATCAGATGCAGAAACCAATCCACTACACACAAAACTAAGGCTGTCAACGACAAGGAAAATAGCTAACAGAGCTAACTGCGAAATCAGCATCAATCACCACAGAGCAAGTAAAATAATAGTGACAAATAAAAACTTCAAAGAAAAGCTGAAATGCTGACAGAACAAAAGAGGACCATAATGCACATGGACATAGGGGATCAGAGAAGGGCGAGGAGAGACAGATAAGGGGGGCTTACCATTAGCTATGTGCATCTTTATGAGCCTAAAATCTTCAAGTGTGATACCCTTTTCTTTGTCGAGTGGGTTTACCATACCCACACTTTGAGAAAACTATTGCCTATACTACGAGAATAGGTAACAGCTATTAGGCGAATTAGAGGCAACAGTTTTGAAATATTGCCCAAATCAATCCATATGGAAAATATGTTCTGAAAATTTCCACTGCATGCAAATAACACGTTCTACTTTATCTCTTTGTCCACAACATGTAGTACAGGGTTCAAGTCCGGTGCAATTCCTTCGTGAAGAAATCTGCCCATTATTATCTTCAATTTAGCCCATATCAGATCAGCTTTAGGATGTGACCTCACCTATCCCCAAAAACAAATATATGTACCTTGTTCTTAACCTCTCCATATAGCAGTGTGCCCAGCAATTTTTCTCACCCTTCTCTGTTTCATTTGAGCCCTGACCTTATCTGCTTCTAATCTTTTACCACAAGAAGTGTAAATATTGGATAAGAGAACATATCGACCAGAGTTATCAGAGTCCAACTCCAATATATGTTTTTCAGCAAGTTCGGCCATTTCTACATTCGAATGAATTCTACAGGCGCCAAGCAGTGCTCCCCATACAGCTGCACCTGGCTTTATTGGCATCTTCTGAATAAAGTCATAGGCTTCACAAAGTCGCCCAGCACGACCCAAGAGATCAACCATGCATGCATGATGTTCAGAACCTGGTCTTATACCAAAATCTCTACTCATGGAATTGAAGTGCTCCCAACCCTCCTGTATCAACCCACCATGACTGCATGCTGACAAAACCGACACAAACGTAATGTGATCAGGTTGCTGCAACACCTTCGTCTGATCAAATAAGTCTAACGCTTCTCTAGCATGGCCATGTATCCCATAACCTGAAATCATGGTGCTCCATGAGATTGCATTTTTCTCCTGCATTTGATCGAAAACTCTCCTGGCATGTGCCAGATTTCCACATTTCACGTAGAGGTCGACTATAGAAGTTTCAAGAGACACTTGATTTTGGAAGTGGTTCCGAATTACAAAACCGTGAATGGAACGTGCTTGCAGGAAAGATGCCAAATGTGAACAAGTACAAACTACAGCCAGAAGGGTTACCAAATCAGGATGAATTTTCAGTAAGATCATCTCTCTAAAGAGGCCCAAGGCCTCCAAGGGCATGTCAGCTTGAGCATAAGATTCAATCATTGACGTCCAACACACCAGATCCCTATCAGTTATCCCATCAAAGAATGCCCGGGCAACATCAATCCTCCCGCATCTCGCATACATTCTCATGGTAGCATTTTGTATTAATCTATCCAAGCCAAGCCCATTGTCCATCACGATCCTCCGAACTTGGTCAGCTTCCTTTTCTGTGTGCACACATGTCATAGCGTTTAAGATGGAAGCTCTGTTTGGTATAATTCCATTGGCTAACATCTGCGAAAACAAAAATTTGCCTTGGTCGCAGCACCCGTTTTGGCCGTATGCACCAATCATTGAGCTCCAAGTGACTATATTCTTGTCATGCAAGTAATCAAACACGTGGCGTGCAATGTCATGACGCCCACACTTGGCATAGAAACTCAGCAGAGAGTTACCCACAGTGACATTAGAGTCATACCCAAGTTGAACCACATCAGCATGAACTGAAATCCCAAACCGATAATCTTGCAGATAAGAACAGGCCTTGAGAACAAACGGGAAGGTGAAATTGTCGGGGTGGAGGGAAAGTTGTCGTCGCATTTGCGTATAAAGTTCGAGGGAACGGTGATAGAGGGAATTTTCGAGGAAGCCACGGATCATAACGTTCCAGAGGAAGACATCGGGAGAGTTGGAGGGGAAGTGAGAAGCAAGAGAGAATAAGGTGGAAGCGAGTGAGATGGAACCTAGAGAGAGGTAGTGAGCAATAAGGTTAGTGGAGAAGAAGATGTTGAAGAAAAGGTGGGACCTGAGCATGCAGCCATGAACACATTTTAAGGATTGGATGGTCCTGCTTTGTTTGATCAAAGAAATGCAATTCTCTGCACTCAACGGCCCTGCTACCATTTTTGCGGGTGAAGCAGAGGGAGAATTTCCCGCAAAGGGGTCAAGAAAACGGCTCGCAGTGAAAAGAGGGATTAATTGAATTTCTCACTTGACATATAAGTCAATTCTTATGTTGGTTTTGATTTTAAATATAAGACTCATTTTTTATATTTATCAATTTTTTTTAAAATTATCCTTATAGATATTCCCTCAACTATAATAGGGAGAGAGGTATTAAGAAAGACAATTATAGTGTTTTAGGAAAAATGTGTTACTTTTTTTATAATTAACTAACTTACCTAACTTTCTTAATCTAATCAAATTAATTAAATGGGTCTTATATTAAGGATAAAAAAAGTATTATGATAACAGATAATTAAATTCTAAAATTTGTATGAAGATTAGAATATCCGTTGGGAAAAAAAAAGTCTGTATAATGTGAAGCAGACTGGAATATATATGTACACACAAAAACATAATTAATTTTAGGAATAATACTATCCTAAATTCTTGAAATTTGACTTCATTTTAATTTTGATTCTTAAAATTTGATCTCATTTAAAGAGTGCTTAGATAGAAATCAAACTATAGTTTTAAAAATAATTTTACAGCATAACAAGTATATGTATAAATGAGATTGTCTGAATTTATGATAAAAACATTTTTGGGTGTCTCGCACACTTTTCAGTTTTAAGGAGTATTTGGATGAAAACGAAACTATAGTTTTAAAAATAATTTTACAGTATAAAAAATAAATATATAAAGAAGTTTATTTCAATTTGTGAAAAAATATTTTTAAAAAGTACTTTTAGCAATAGTTAAACACCCCCTTAATTCCCATTCCAAAAGACCAAAAGCAATGTTTCAAGTAAGAGTATGCATAAGGCCCAAATATCAAATAAGTCCACCCAAGCTAAGCAAGAAAAACACCTAGGTCACCCTAATAAAAAGCTATCTGAACAAAAATGGATATTTTTCGACCGGGCTGATGCACGGGTAGGACCGCGGGCAGGGTATGTTGCCTTGTCAAAAAAAAAATATATATATATGTATTATAATATATAATATAATATTATTTTAAACAATTATCCCTTTTATTTTGGCTAAAAACATTAGGTAAGATTAGAAAAAAAAATGAAAGGAGCATAAAAATTATAATTATATAAAAGAGTCAAATATCAAAATATAAGATTTAATATGCTAAATTGATCCAAGTCAAATTTCCTTCTTTTCCTCTTATCTCCAATTTTTTTTAAAAAATAAAAAATAAAACTACCTTTCAACTCTTGTGCTTTCACGTGACTATAAGAATCCACCAACTATATGAATAAACTACAAAATTAACTCAATTATTAAATATTTTTTTACCTCTCATAAGAAATTGAAGGTTGAAGAACAAGACCACGTAAGCTTTATATATATATATATATATATATAAGTAATTGAGTCATTCGTGATAATTTTTTTCCTCTTACTTGTCTTAAGGCATGATAATTGAATTTTTTTTTGCACATTATATAAGCAAGGTGTCACTAAGTTAGGCAGAAAAGCCCATTCTGTCTAGCCTGTCCTTCCTTAGCCCAAAATGGTTAAGCATCTACTGAGTAGCGGCTGCAAAACGCAGCCCGCTTTTAACATCCTTATTTTTATCTAGTATTTAATTAAATTTATAAATAAATATATTTTAGTATTAAGTTAATAAAAAATTTAGATATAGGAAAATTATTATTATTATTATTATTATTATTTTAATAATGTTTTTGTGTGTGAGTGTGTGTGTGAATATGTGTGTGGATGATATTTTAGAAAATTATACCATGGTATGGAAGTCTCATGTCAACTAATCTTTAGAGTAAAGGAGTTTGACGAGCTTATATATAGGAGATAGTGGGTGGAGCTTGAAGTGAGTAAATAATTTTCGTATATATCTGAGGTAGTCTCAAAAAAGTGCTAGTTTTGAGCTTATTAACCGTTGGATTGGACTGAAATTTGGTCAGCCCATTTGGGACATCCAAATCATTAATTTCAACGGTTGGATCATCATTTTGATCTTCGAGTTACAAGTTATTAGGTATATTTTTAACTTATTTTTTTAGATTTAGCAGATAGAATCCTGAATAGTAAATTAGCATTGTAAAGTTTGTTTGCTATTAGATTAAGCTATAATTTAGATAATAGTATCATGATAGATAGAAAATTAAATTCAACAGTCAGATTAAGGTTTAACTTTTGTAGTGAGAGTAACCTAACTCGTATTAGATCTATTTATCTAAGTCATTCGAAGATAGAACAAAAGTTATAAATTACAGTTTGTCTATTTATGTTATGAATTTGATGATTCTAATAATGTAATCTAATAATTAAAGTATACTTAAGCAAGAAAAATTTAGGAATTGAGTCTAAATTATATATATTTTCTCATTCTAAACCTTAGAAAAAGGTTTTTTAGACTCGAATTCTGAATAAAAATTAAAGATTTTAAAGGAGGAATTAGAGGCTAAAATTTTGTGAGTAGTCTACTCTAATATTATAGAGATGACATTTTAATTTCGTTTGTAGATATAAACTCTATTGTGATATTTTCGAGGTTGGACTTTGGTTGTATTTGACTGTTAGCTAGGAGACCCGATAACTAAATTTCTATTTGTTGCATGCTCTAGTATGAAGTTGATGAGCAGCTTTATAACTAATTCTATAAAAGTATATTATGTTTTGTATGAACTGTCTTGTGGGATGCCATTTTAAAAAGGACTGACATAGTTTGTATTGCGAGAAATTGGTGATCATGATTATGATGTATTATTATGAAATTCGGTTGATTATGCATATAAATGTGTTATTTTAAACCCTGTGTATTTATTTTGGGTGGGGAAAGGAGATAATTGGAGTTATTGAGATTCATATACTTGTCACGTGGTATTGGCCTCCATACGGAGTTTTATGGTTAGCCGCTATTATTGTTCCACTAGTTCTTTGAGGGACTACGACACTCCACTAATTCTTCGATGGGGACCCATGGTCCACTGAGTACTCTGTGGTCTTTGGCCGGTCCACATCACTCATGTGGTGAACTTGTCAGAGTTGCTAATCAAATGGGAAGAACTTAGCCCATGGGTCTAGTCGGAGGAAGTAAGGGGGATATAAGGATTGATTTGGGTTTAGGGATTGCATATGACATAAGATGCTCATTGATATTTATATCTTTTAAATAAATAAAAAGTATGTTATTTCTTTTGAAATGTATCAACTGCATGAAATTAATGGAAATATTTGTCTTATATGATTATTGTGAGTTTAAATGTTAAATAGATGTTTATCAACTATTATTAACTCTATGTATCCCACCTGACACCTCGCTAGCCCATGTTAGGGTGTGTGATAGGTAGGGATTTAGTTACTGAGACGTTGTCTCACTCTTGTTGCTTTATCATTTTCAGGAAACAATACGTAAGCGGGACCTTCAGGGAAAACTCCTGAGACTCAATAGTTGTAACTGACAGTGTAGAGCTTTTGGACCTTATTTTATGCAATCTTTTCATACCACGCATTAGGATTGCATTCATTTGGGACTTATTTTACCTTCTCATATTTTTATATCGTTTGACTTAGTGAACGTATTATAGCTTTTATCTTTGGTTTATTTTGTCTGAACATTGGACTAGAGTGATGGTAGTAGGCCTAAGGCCCTTAGATTGCATGTGATTGAATTCTTGTGGATCCACGATGTGATAATAGCAATTTTCGCAAGTTTAGTTGTTGCTAGTATTGACTATATAGTCAAATCTGAACTGCTATTATAATTTATTGAGGCGTGTTGTTTTAACCTTGTTAGCTATGATTACAGATATAGGTTATTCTTTTCCTAACCATGATAGCTTTATTTGAGGTCGAATGCTTTTTTATCATGGTTAGCCCCTTAGTGATGTGATTGCTTCTAAATAACCATGATAGGGTATGTTTACTAGTTTTATTTCTTTCTATCATGGTTAGTTTTAGTTAGTAAGCGGCGATGTTACACCGCTTATCTTTCAAGCTGGATATCAGACATGGCACTTGCTTTTTCTTAGCCCTGCCTATATGCACCATAGTTCCAAGGTCGAAAAAATAACAAATCTACGGACAAAACAAAATCAAGTCAAGTTTAAGTGACCAAAATCACTAGTTTTAAATTTTAGGGATCAAAATCAAAATGATACCAAAAGCATTGGTTTTAAAAATTTGAAACCAAAACTAAAATGAGATCAAATTTTAAAGGCTAAATTTGGTAATAATGCTTAATTTTATTAATTTTAAGAAATATTTAAGGGAGAATTACAATGATATTTCAAGAAAGGAAAATAATTACAAAACAAATCCCAAAAAGTTATCATTTCCTGCTTTGAAATTTGTCATTACAGGCTACTTAGGTTGTTATTGGGACTTTTTAATAACTATTTCCCTCCATTGGGACCTTGTTATAATTCTCCCAAAATTTAATTATGAATATTTTGAAAATAATGAATTACTACCTCTGGTCCTTAATATAAGAGCTTGTTGATTAATCTGAGTAGATTAAGAAAGTTTGTTAAGTTAGTTATTTGTAATAAATACGTATTTTTTTCCTAAAATACCCTTACTAATCATATGTATTAGCTAGAATTATCATTTGATAAAATCTTTAACATGTGCAACCACTACAAGAACTATTTAAAAAAAATAAATAAATATGAGAGACAAAATAGATTGAGATTTTATATTTAGGACCAAATTAAAAGTTAAATTAGCTCTTATATTAAAAACTGAATGTAGTTTTTTTTTACCAAACGAAAATAATGAATTATAAAATTTTAGTGAAGATAAAAAGGTTGAAGAGCAGATTTCCCTAGAAAATTTTCTCTCTAGAAGCATTGGGCACGTGGAAACTATTTTAGAGGCAAACTTCTCCAGAAATTTGAAACGGTAGCAAGTTATTAAAAATCTAACGTTAATCATTAAACTAATGATACTCTTCCGATCCTTAATATATGATCTAATTGTTGAGT